TTCTATGGTGGCACTAAATGTGAAAAAAGTATAGGTAACTAACGCTAATAATATTTTAGGAAATAGTATTTAAGAAATACCAAGACATGTAACGGTTTCACCGTCCGATCGTATTTATTAAATCACTTCTCGATTATCATTTCATTAATCCCATCTCTAGCTTTTTTGCTTGGAAAATTTTCCGCTTGGAGCGCTTGATCTGCGATCTTCCTCGCGCTTCTTTTTCACTTGAGCCGCCGATCGAACAACGGCTTTAACTTCGCCTACAACTGGTTGTGAAGCCACTATATGGAGGTCACCCCTCATAACTGGGACCTCCCCTTCAAGCCCCTGGCCATCCTGGCTTCAGTCGAGTAAAAATGGACCAGCGAAAGATAAGTCGATAGCGTTATAGCAGCGCCAAAGATGTAAAACTTATTTTGTTATTTTTGTAAAATTGTAATGTAATGAAAATGCCTTTTTTTTTGTTAAATAAAATCTGTTGAATTTTTGTGTTCTGTTTGTTCTTCTATCCTCTAGCCATGCCATGGTCGACACACAGCTACGCGCCTGTAGATGTCTTCATGCCACCGACTGAGCTACTGGAAGCTAATGGTAACCCCCTTTCTGTGATTGTGCAGAAAAGTTGGAATCTTCATTGCATGCCATCTTTTCTGGACTTTTTGCGGAAAGGAAGCGTTACAGACATCAAACGTATCTAAATACAAAATAAATTTCAGAAAAGAATTTTAGATACAAGATGAAAATACTTACGTATCTAGTATCTGTATTTCAGATACTTGTATCTCAAGTGAGACACATTTCTGGTTGTGAATCACGATATCTCGACAAGGGACTAGCTACATCTCATCATCAGGGCACAAGACATCGTCTTTTCAAAAGTATATACAAAATCGCGATCACAATACTGTAAGAAACAAAATCGTAAGCGCTTATTTATGCATATGAATCTGTCTTGTCTTATGATCGTAGACGTGTTACCATATTCCCTGAAGACTCTACACCAACGAAGAAATCAGAGAAGATCAATAAATGGTTATGTAAAAGTTTTTTGATGAAAATGCTTTTGAAAGTAAAGTAAAACAAATGGTTATCATAATATATCAATCAATGTTTCCTGCGAGCTAAAATACATACATCAACCAATTGAAGCAATCATAAAGAATATAATGATCTATTATTATTTTCAATATTCCTTTTTGCAACGCAGCGTACCACATAGCGAACACGCAGTCCTCTCTCTCTCTTTCTCGATATTTGCAGCGAACATGCACCGAGTATAAAATAAACAATTAAAATATAATTTATGTGGTCGTAAATGCAGTATAAAATTGACAATTTATACTATTTACCCGGGTACATACTTACGCCCACGTTTGCTGCCAAATCCAGTGGAGTGACAGACGCTACTTTTTCGGTCCACTTGAGTTACAACAAATTAAGGTGTGTACTAAAGATTTAACATATCGGAAAAAAACGGGAAATATAGGAACCAATTGTAAAGTTTTTTAAACATATCTTGTAAAAATAAATACAAAAAACATACTTTAATAATATCTATTAATATCTAAGATATAAATACATACATGTATACAGGGTTATCCAAATTAAGTGTCCACCATTAGTAACTTTGTTATTAGTGAAAATACAAAGTTGTTTGAATTAGCAAACTAGTAGCATTTTTAACGCTGGCAAAAATGAGAAATAAAAAAAAAACAATTGAGAGTCGCTATTTTGATTTTTTTCAGTAAAATAACATTTTTTTAAATGGAAACCCCTGTATATTATATTTTTTTCTGTTAAAGCATCAAATTTTAAACAAAAAAGCTTACAATAACTTTTCTCCTAGGTTACAAATTGTTGAAGTTATGGCCTCCAATCTGAAACAATTAAATTGTATCGACAAACTTTATTTTCAACATCAACTTATAATCTTACAAAATACAATAACAATTTTTTTTAAAGAAGATGCTCGAAAACACCACCTTGTTCTTCAATACATTTTTGGGCACGTTTTTCAACTGCTCGAACTGTCTTAAGTATGGTCCTACCATCTATCTGGGTTATCTTTTCCCTAACTGCAGTCTTTAACGCGTCAAGGTTATCGTACCTTCGCTTGTAAATTTGGTTCTTTAAGTAACCCCACAAGAAGTAATCAAGTGGGTTTAGATCTGGTGATCTGGGAGGCCACTGTATTGGGCCATTTGTTCCTATCCACTGATCATTAAAAGTAGTACTTAGAAAATGATAAGTACCTCTGGAGTTGTGGGCAGGTGCGCCATCTTGCTGAAAATAGATGATGTCTACTTATAAGATCCAATTCGTCTAAGAAATTAGTCAGAATTTCTGACATAAATTCCACATATCTTTCACCAGTTAGGGTTCCCTCATACGGGCCAACAATTTTTGAACCAATTATACCGCACCAAACGTTGAAACTGAAACGGACTTGTGGGCCTCTTGGATGTACTAACAAAAGATTTTCTCTTGACCAATAATGGTGGTTTTTTCTATTAAACATTCCAGAATTTGAAAAATTTGATTCATCTGTCCATAAAATGTAACGAAAGTTATTTACATTTTGGCGACAGAAGCTAAGATACCAATGGCAAAAAACAAGTCTTCTCTCTGGATCCCCTGCCAAAAGCGTTTGAAATGGTCGGTACTTATACGGAATAAATTTGTATTTTTTTAAAATCCTTTGAACAGTACCATAACTGAAATTAGAGTCCTTGAGAATATCTGCTATTGAATTCTCACGATAAGCTTCAAAATATCCAATAACTGCAATTTCCGTGGCCTCGCTTATTATGAATTCTTTTTTTGCCCTTGTTTTAGCAAAAACATTTTCGTTGCCCCTAAATTTTAGATAAAGTCTCAGAAAATATCCTTCATACGGTTGAATGCGAGCGGGATATAATTCACTGTAGTATTCTCTTGCTCTCAAGGAGGATTTTCTGCATACTAAATAGCATTCTAACATATCACACTTTTCTTCATGGGAGAACATTTTTCTTTAAATTAATGACACAATAAAGCTTATAAACAAGTATTTACACTATTGTTTGACATTATTTGATTTTATCATTGTTTTCCAAAGCCTTCTAGTTGCGAGTATGTCCAGTTTAACAATTTGTCGCTTATCTTAATGCTGTCAAATCGCGAACGCCATGTTGTTTTCATAGCCGTCTTAATATTATAATACTGCAAATAATTAAAAATATTTATCGTTATTTTGACTTTATTTTTGACTTTAGCAAAAAAGTCATTATGAACTTTTTTGTTTAAAATTTGATGCTTTAACAGAAAAAAATATAATATACAGGGGTTTCCATTTAAAAAAATGTTATTTTACTGAAAAAAATCAAAATAACGACTCTCAATTGTTTTTTTTTTATTTCTCATTTTTACCAGCGTTAAAAATGCTACTAGTTTGCTAATTCAAACAACTTTGTATTTTCACTAATAACAAAGTTACTAATGGTGGACACTTAATTTGGATAACCCTGTATAGGGTCAAATTATAATTATTATCTAATAATTGAAAGTATCAAAGCGCTCAAAGGTATATTTTCATCTGAGTCTGAGCTTGAATCTTCAGACCAAGCATCTGATTCAGACTCGATCTCCGCTTCGTTTCCATGGACGGACAAAACAGCATAATCTTCTAAAAGTGGAACTGATCTAGCTTCTGAATTTTATCCTGTGATAATCTATTTCTTTTGCTTGCATGTATGAGGCCGCGTAAAGACCAGTTTCTTTCTGAAGAGGCGGATGATGGCGGTCCAGTTAAAATTCGGGAGGCAATTGGCATAAGTGGCTGCGATGTACACAAGCCTTGCCACCATATAACGGGATGAGTACTATTCGCACTATCCCATAAAGAATTTCGACTAAAAAATCCAGTGTTTGTTCTAAATTGGGCTAGATTTGCCACCACCTTCCCTACATCTAGATTTAGTGAACGAGCCATTTCAGAAATGAAGTCTATTGCTTCCATTAGTTGGTCTTCATTCAATTGTTCTCCTTTAAAGCGAGCATCAAGAAGATTGACTGCAAAGTGAATCGGCTTAGAACAAAATTCGTAGCGTGCGTAGCAAGCTTTCGATAAGAGAACTAGTCAGGTCAACTTGTTGGGGAATATCTAATATTGTGTCTTTTATATACTTAAAGACAAAAGGCACTTCTGATAATATAGATCTATCCGATTCTACTAAATTCATCGATTTTGATACAGGATGCAGGTTTTGTTTAGTACATTGTATTTTTTGCCAGAACGCATCATTCAATACAACTTTTTTAATATTTTGTTTTACATTCAGGTTTTCCACTAATACAGTACATTGCAGAGCTTCCTTATTTCTTAAAAGCTAATCAACAGTTATAAACAGAGAACCCCATCTTGTTTTTGCAGGTAATTTGAGGGAAATTACTTTATTTTTTGGGTATATTTCGGCCTGTGCTTCTTTAAATGCAGCATAAAGTATGTGGTGCTGTTTAAAATACTTACAAATTTTTTTAGACTCTTTACTTATTTTTTCAAACAAATTTTCTTTCATAAATTCCTTTAGTAGCATATTCCGATTGTGAGCTGCACAAGATATATGAGGATATGTTGTATTTATAATATGCCAAGCAGCTTTCATATTACTCGCATTGTCAGTCACTATTAAAAAAAGGTTTGTGGCCCTATTTCTTGAACAACTTTGATAAGTTCATTACTTATATACGTTCCCGTTCCTTTTGCAGTGCCACGATGAACAGTTTTGTAAAATAAAGGTATAGGCGTGCATATAACAATATTGATTAATCCATCTCCGACTATATTTGTTCAAATATCTGTTGATATTGATAAACTATCGGATTCAGAAAACTTCGGTTTATCTGTACACGTTCATACTCGGAATTAAGTAAGTTTGTTGACAGGGCGTAAGGGCTAGGTATTTGGTATGACGGTCTTAACATTTTAAAAACCTGTTCCCAATATTTATTTTTGAAAAGAGAAAAAAGAGCACAAAGAGCACTGCTAATGCCTCATCAATTTTAGAAGACTCTGAAACAGCTATCTAATCGAAAAACCCGCTCAATGTTTGTTGGCAGTAGCTTTCTTGTGTTTTACTGATGGTAATGGAGATTCGGAAGATGATGACATCGATGACGTGTCCTTTTTGCTAGTTGAAGGGTGAATGGTATCTTCTAATGCTTCTAGCGGGATATCTTTGTTACTTTCTTTTTCTTTTGACGTCGAAGACTTCGAACTCGATTGTATTTCATTGCCATATTTTTGTTTAATTTCCAAAGGACACTTTGAACATTGGTTTGATATATGATTCGTCATGCGAGTTGCGTTTGGAAAGGCGTCTTTAAAACAGCAAAACTTACACACAGCCTTGGATTTTTTATCTGTTTTTTCAATATCAAATAATTGCCAAATTTCTTAAGGTCAAACCATATTGTCCTGCAACAAGAAAAAAATACATAAATAAAATATCTTGCTGCACTTTATCAAATGATCAAATTCATCTAATTTAATGAGTATACAGATAATAATTATTATTACTGAATCTTGATATTAGTAATAAAGTAAAGTTAGGAAAATATGCAAGGAAACTGAAATCCCACCTTAAAGCTATTCCAAATTTAATAAAATATTCACTTACCAGAAACCAAAACAAACACTTGGGTCAACAACATTAACAATCTTCAGAACAAACACGCTTAGGATAAGGCAAAATTAAAATGCGTGCTTTAAAGTAAACAAGACGTGTCAATATTGAAGAATCTCATTCTCAACTGAACAATTCAGGAATACGGGGATTTACCGAAATGCTGTGTCGCTGTGCGTGATCGGGGATTAACCGAAAGCTGTAGTGGTCGAGGATTCACCGAAAATTGACGGGTATTTATCGAGAACTAATCCTTCAGAGCCGTACCTTGCGGTTTTGATTTAAATTATTTCTGTTTGATTTATGTTAATGGAAAAATCAGTAACCAGAATACTTTTATCTTGCATATAACAAATTTCAATTTTTCCGTATTTTTCCTTTTTTTCCTCAATTTTTCCGGAAATTTTAAATCTCTAGTCTGTACCGGTAATCTAAGTGATCAGTGCTATTTAAATATACGAGGTCTGCAAATTAAGTGATAAGACTGATTTTTAACACGCTTAGCAGCGAGTAACACTTAACATTTCAGCGGCGATTATAAATACCGTAGTCACCCTTCAACGTATGCTTGGCGGTTAATAACAAATTCAATTTTGCCTCCACGGCAGCTAAATATTCCATCTAGCGCAGCCGGCGAACCTGGAACGCCAGCTCTAGGTATTACATAATACATAAAAGAGACCGTAAATATATTTTACAATTTCGTCAAGTGAGATATAACTCCCGGGTATGAATAAGGTATGGGGAGTTATAAAATGTTGGAACTGCATCTTCCGAGCATCGTCGCCTGGTATAATCCAGGGAATGTATGTGACGATTTTCCGCTGAAGTTCGGATACCTTTAGGCTGCGGTTATTCTCCGAGACCTTTCAATACAACTATTTATAATATGGGTAATATAAGGAGCTATAAAAGGAAATCAGGGTAACGTTCAGGCTATCAGCGCCAAAGGCCTTCGTCTTGATACTGAGGATACTATTTAAAACAAAATCTTCGTCGATTAGGCTAAATGAGAAGGCTTCATTAAGCAAGGAGTTGTTATAGAAATGCAACAATTCTTGTTTTGGAGTATTATTTTGTGATATTTGGGCAAAGTAGGTAATAAGTTCATTAATATTCCTTAAATGGTCGGGGATGTGATCTATGGCGTCGTGCTTTGTGGAGGATCATGTCACGATTTCCGTGCATTCAAATTGCAAAAACGTGCAATGCGGATTAGAGCAGGCGCTAAGTTCAAGGAGCACTGCAAACCTTTCTTCCTAATGTTGGGGATTCTGCTGTTGCCATGTATCTACATGCTTTACACTTTGCTACACATTCGTGAAAACTCGACCTGCGACACAATCCAATCAGATATTCACAAGTATGATACAAGACTCCCGCTTCCAATCTCGGTCAATGTTTTTACCCTGGTGAGGAATTACAATTTGCAGGTTCTTTTGTGATTCATGCCTCATGGGTACTTTTTTATTTTAAATGATTGACATTCTTCTACTCCACGACTTGTCATATACCTGTATCGTCTATAGAGTATGACCAATGAATTATCTAAAGTGTATCTAACGAAGCTACAAAGTAATCGTAAACAGTGGTTGATTCGTGATCAACGCGTGATCGGTAGCCATGGCGCTCTGTCGGCCTCTTCCTGATTGGCTTGTAGCGACGAGCCTCCAGACAAAGTCGCACGGTTGCCACGCTCGGCGAGTTTTCGCCACAGTGGTTGATCACATTCGCATGGATCACAAATCAATCTGTTGGTGCAATACGTGCAATAACTGTTGTAAAGGACATTATATAACAATAAATGGCATCACAAAGGTATATTCCAATTTGATCTGCAGCAAATTATGAACGGCATATACGGAGATGCGAAAACAAGCTCAAAAAGGTGAAGAAAATTTTTGTGCAATCTTTATAGTTAAATTTTTTCTAAGAGATAGCATCAGTGAGGGAATTTTTTTCTATTGTCTTATTTTTCACATTAATGCGATGTCGAGGTATGTGGCCCTATCGCAATTGAAAATAAGGTTTCGATAATCCTTCCATAAAGTTTAGATGAGTACATCTGAAATAACCTTGAGATATTCTTCAGGGAAATACAAAAATCTCCTTTTGTGTTATTTTGTGCAGATTTATCTATTAAAATCCTATCCGCAATCTATTTTCCGTGCACACACCTTCAACCGAATGTATGCCGTATATGATATTACCGTTTCCAACTTTCACCAAGGTTAATAGGAACCATAACAGCTCCCTACGCTTCCCCCCTATAAGAATATCGATTTGTAGCCTCACATTTCAAGGTTAGACTTCTTGTAATGTTTCTGTTCAACATTCGGCGATTTCTGACAATTTTCCCAATAAAACATGATCATTGTGACATTAAGCCTGGCAACGCCGCATAGAAGAGGGAACTCTCAGCGTCACGTTGATGGTTCGTCACCACGCACAGGATTGTAATCAGTTACGGATACCCGTTTATGAGCGCGAACGTTTTATGCACGTCTTGACTTGATTTTTCTTGCGGAAATTTAATATTAGTCTAAAATGTCTGACACAGATACAGCTGATGAAGTGGTTGAAATCAGCTTAACGTCACCCAGAAAAAGGGCTAAAAAGCTTCATCTTAGCGCAGGTGAAAAACAAATTATTCTAAATATCTACAAGAACCAGATGCAAGAGAATAGTGGATTGGCTATAGAAAATATCGTATGTAAGGTTGCTGAAATTTCTGGAGTAGGTCGATCAAGTGTTTACAAAATCTTGAAGGAATATAGACAAAATCACTCACTATCTGAGCCAAAAACATATCCAGCGAGAAAAAAAATCATCGAAAAAATAGATGACTTTGACAAAAGTGCCATTAGAAGAAAAGTACATCACTTTTTCTTCAGGAATGAAATACCTACAATAGATAAAATATTGAAGCAAGTGAATGATGATGAGGACCTGCCAAATTTTAAAAGATCTACGTTCCATAAGCTGTTGAAAGAACTAGACTTTCGATTTTTGAAAAGAGGAAGGAATAGTTTATTGATAGAAAAGGAGGAAATTGTTATCTGGAGGAGAGAATACCTTAGAAAAATTAGGCAATTCCGCGCTGAAGGAAGAAAAATTTATTATTTAGACGAAACATGGGTGAACGCGGGGCATACGCAGGGAAAGGTTTGGGTAGACAGATCTGTGAGGTCCTCAAGGCAGGCTTTTTTAGATGGCCTTTCGACGGGATTGAAAAATCCTGCAGGTAAGTTTCGAAGTATATGAACTTTTTTGGATGCAGATAATTCATTTTCTGATCGAATCAATGATTTGGAAGCTCCGAACTCAGTTTTGCTATCTCATCCAAGTTTCTGAGTATTAACTTCACGCAAAAACTAATCTAAGACCCTAATCCTACACTAACCTAAAAAGAGTAAGTTGCTTAATTTCGTCATTTAGTGCGCTCGCTGAGAAGTAAAATAACTAATTACTTTCAGGCAAGGGAAAACGCCTGATCATTTGCCACATAGGTAGCGTAGATGGATTTGTTCCTGAAGCATTGTGGGCATTTGAATCCAAAAAAACTGGAGACTATCACGAAGAAATGGATGGTAACTCATTTGAAAATTGGTTCAAAAAAATTTTGCCGACACTTGATGATAACGCAATAATTGTGATGGATAATGCCCTGTACCACAACAGAAAATTGGAATAAATTCCAACAATGGCCACCAAAAAGGCAGACATTCAACAGTGGCTTGTCTCAAAGAAGATCGACTTCGACCAAACAATGGTCAAAGCTGAGCTGATAAATATAGTCAAGCGACATAAGTATAGATATGATTTAAAAATTGTTGACGAAATGGTCAAAAACCAAAATAAAACGATTCTCAGGCTGCCTCCCTATCACTGCGAACTGAATCCTATCGAGTTGATTTGGGCTGACATCAAGCAATACGTGGCGTCAAATAACAGCACTTTTAAGTTTTCTGACCTTAAAAAACTGTTTGATGTTGCTGTCGATAGAATTACGCCAGCAAAATGGAGAACATGTATTGACCATGTCCAAGAGAAGGTTGAAACCAAAATGTGGGATATGGACAATATCATTGACACCCAAGTTGAACCCCTTATAATTGACATCAACAATTCTGATGATTCAAGCTCCTCGGAATACAGCATATAAATCGATTGATACCATTAAGACTGGCAGTTTAACGGGCTTTTTGGCAAGATAGGTAAGTTCATTATAGACTGCAATCAAAGTGTAAGTTTCTAGTTATTAATGTGGAAATTCCAAATTTATAATTACACAAAATTAGGGTTTATTTAGGAGTTCCAAAGCATAATAGTGCCATTTTGACCTTCTTCCTATTTCTCATGTAAATTTTAATAGCAATCAAACTAACAAACTTTATGGAGTCTGTAATAAACTTTTGTACTACTACTACTACGTCTGTAGTTTCTATTTGCTCAAAAAAATTTGCTCTGCATTGTGAATAGAAGGTTGATTTGTAAATATTATTGGGTATATATGTAAGTTAATAATAAAATATGAACAATTTCAATTGAGATGGTCCACAAGTTTTTTTCGTGTGCGTTTTAGTAACATTTTGCTGAAATGGTGAATACAGAATTTTTTGCACTGATTCCTAATGTCGAAATATGATTAGAAAGGCGTGGTATATTCCTGATAATTTACTATGCTTTTGATAGAATTTACAGTAACACATATCTTGTACGACATTTTTTGATAGATCAGTCACAATAGCTTGATACGGCCCTGTAGCGTCTCCTATGGTTAAGTTCTTGATCACGTGCAATACGGGTGTATATGTTTGATTTTACTTTGTTTCTTCGATGGATACAGTTTACATAGTCTACTGAAAGCCTAATGAAGGTAGATCCCTTTCACCGGTAAGTATTATTATGTTGATACAATGTTGCCACTTTGGTTGGCTACGGCAGTCAACATGACCAGTGAACATAACCATGGCGTTTTCTAATATATTCGAATTCGGTGACCAGTGTTATGAAAGCGATAGAAGTAGGAATTCGAGACTTCATTATTAAAGCTACTATACAATCAAGCTATAATAGTAGAATGTTGATACTTCGTTTTTCAGTGGTGGAAAATTGAATTTTCTGCGATTATTATGTTTGTAAATATTTTAATATATTTTCATAAGAGCGGTCGCTGCTCAACTTTACGACGGTTTTACTCGTATTATTATGAAGATTTCCGTCATATTTCCCTGGAATTTTCCACTTGACTGGCAGTTATACTGCTCGTTAATTTCATCAAACTGACACAGCATCTCCAATGATCATACTTTAAACCTGAAGCTGTTGTAAAGTTGCGATGCAATTGCAAATTTTGACTTGCATTTAAGAGATTCTTATGAAAAATATTTTACGAGCTCTGCAAAAATTCGCTTTCCGGTTAAACCGGGTTTGCAGATGCTGAAGCGACGTCAATTCTGTCGTGTGACAGCAGAACCTAGTAAGTCACTTTTTATCAGGTTTGAGAAATAACATATTTTCAATAAACATTCGGCTTTCGAAAAGTTTAAGTTTTATGAATATTAAAAAAATTGTCTGAAGGGTTATGTAACTTGCTAAATTCGATAGCATCAATTTTATTCATGTGATAGTTTTGTTTATGGTAGAAAAGTGACTTACGTTTTTTTTTCATGGTTTCTTTTTCGATATTAAATTAAGATACTTTAGCAGAAAATGGTAAGTCAACTTACTGATTTTTACAAAATTTCGACTAGAGAAAATAAAAAAAAAAGATATTGTAAGTGTACTTACTAAGGTTTTATTTGATATAATTTATGTGCGAAGGCGAACACAAAAAGTAACATATCTACTTACTAACTGGAAAATAAACATTTGAATGAAAAACGGTGGAACATAAAACAGCAAGTCTACATACAAGAAGAACAAGAACTTAAGCGCTAAGCCTCTGATACCACACATAAGTCTTTGGAATTATCATTAGATGGCAAAAACTGCCAAAATAGTTTCTTTCTTTCATCTTTGAAGGATGGTACCAATTTTTTTAAAATTGTTTCTCTTTTTTCTGAGTTCAATCCCAGTGGCTCGACAAAAGGATGTATAGGGAATTTGAGATCAACTTTTTTTTTCAAAAACTCGACTTCCTGAAAGACAGTTTCATTATGGCATTCTTTATAAAACAAGTGTCTGCATCCTTTGCGAAACTGAGCGAGCTTAATTTTTTCAAGAAGAGGTATATTATTGCTTTTTCTTTGTTTGCTTCCATCTTCAAAGAGGAAAAAATCAAAATTATTTATAGGCAAACATTTAGTTTTTTTTGAGGACTGCTCAATTATTTTCAGAAGCTGTCAAAATCATAAATGTTTGGGTGTTTTTTCATTTCTGTGCTGATTCGGCCATGAACCGAATCCGCAGCCATAAATGAATGGCCTGGTTCAAAATATTTTAGGGTGATCTCTTCTGGACCCCATTCACAATTTACAAAAGTCGCAAAAGCAGAATATAGTGTCCAATTCTTGTTCTGAGCAGAACAGTTGTCTACCCAGAATGTAAATTTTTTGGTAACATTGTCTGAATTTTTTATTACGTTGTAGTATGCCGATGCAACATCCGTCGCGGACCTGCCTCTTATAGCCTCATGCCACATCACGCAAATATTTCCGTCCTTATGAAGTGACGCAAACGTCTCATTGAATACGACCAACCTGCAACAACAAATATAGAAGTATATAAAAGTTTAATACAATTATATATAATTATAAACGAAGTACCTTGAAACAAAAAAAGATTCCTTGGTTGACATTTTGGGCAAGAGTAAGACTTTCTGCATATCTACAGCATAGACCTTCTCATCTTGCATTACCTCTTGATTGGAGTCATTTTCATAGTGCTGTCTTGCTTCCGTATAACTTTTTTTGTGGTTTTCGAATTGACAACAAATCTTGCAACTACTTGCGTCGCATTGGCGAATAATGTGAACTTTATGTTTTAGACACTGAGCGCATTCGTCTTGGGATGGCTTTTTAAACCCAATATTCTGTTTTTCAAAAATTCTTCTGTATAGATCATATGAAATTTTCTGTAGATTACAGAAGTCTTGCCACATGTATTTAATGGTCAAGTCAGGTGGCAAGAATCGTCTATTCGGGGTGTGCCTTAAATTATAGTGAGATACTACCGGATTGAATGAGTTTATATGCTTTATGACAATTTCCTCTGTTCTCATTTTTTGTTCTTCTAGCATGCCTCTAATAACTAACCCCCTTTCATCCACTGTTTGTGCAATTCCTTCTACACTTCGCTTTTTGGAATGTATATGGCAAGTTATCATACCATCTGTTTTAAGTCCTAAAGTATGCAAAAACATTGTTTTGCACACTTGTATTTTTTCAAATTTAGCTTCAGTTTCCACTGGAAGGGGTAGAAAATATTTCAGAGAAACATTCCTGGAAGAGCGCTGAGCCTCTTGCCGCCTTACTTTGATTTCAAATTGTTTTGATATGAGCATCCAAAAAAAGTCTACGCTCGCCAAAGCTGAGTCTCCAGAATTTCGTTCTTATCAATTCTCTAAAGTTCTCATCATTGATTTTTGAGCTACATTTCTGCCTGCAATTATTATGGCATCATAGCAGTAGGGGGTGCTTTTCTTGCTTGTCTGGCCTTTCTTGGGAAACTCTGCAGTTTGCATTCACATTCTCGTTGACTTTTTTCAAAGGCTGCCTGTTTTTGAGGGGCGCAAGCGATACGTCATCAAAGTCCGAAAATTTAATTTTTTTCCTTCTAGGGGATACTGACGGCTCATAATTTGGGTCTGCATCAGAATCGTCATAATCTGATATAGGTTCTTCATCATGTTGCTGACGCTCTTCGAGAGGTTCATTTCTAAAAGATAAAATAAATAGAGGTCAGCGGTTTGAATATATATTTCAAATACGAAAACCGTATTGCAAGAATTAGCTTTTTGTTTGTAGTAATTATAATCTTTTATTTTACTGAAAAAAAAACATCAAACTGCAATGTTACTCCTGAGTTAATATTTCATTTGGCTTATATGTAATGTATGATGCTTGCACTCACCTCTCTGTAATGCATAAACTCGTTATGAATTTTCCTCTCGACATATTCTGGATATTAACTACAGTACTAACGTTAAACTAATTCGCGACTGTCCTCACCGATCCACACTCTATGCCAGTTGGAACATGACTGCGGAAACGCTGTAGCATGCATCCGTGCCTACACTCAATCGGCTTGAAATCATGGCATGAACATTTAGCAAAAACTAGCAAGTGCGTTTACGACGGAGTCTCCCGCCAAATTTCCTACAAAAAAAAAATCTTCAAAACGTAGCATGTAGACATGCCATCATTTGTTGATTTTTTAAATGCTGTTCTGATGACTTACTAGGAAACATGAGACAAAGATATACGATTTAGAGTGCGTCTGAGCGAGAGAAAAAAATTCAACTAGTAGAACTTTTTACGGGCTTTTCAAAAATGACGTAAAAATGTAAAACCTAGTAAGTCGACTTACTAGGTTCTGCTGTCACACGACAGAATTTGAGGCTGTACCCAAACGATCCATTTTGTACCCCAAATTGAGTTACACGAGATTTTATTTTTTGATGATCTGATTCAAATTCAGCGCCCTAAATTAACTAATTGTAACAAATTCAGGCAGGCAGCTAAATTTTTATTACTACCACCCATTTAAGCAGAAATATACTATAGTCGCATTGAAAAATAAAATCGTTAGATTAAGTATCCCACAAAATTTGTCCGTATTCAAACAAGCTAGCTTAATAAGTATTCGGAACAAATATGTAATTTAAATGATTAACTATAATAATAGCAATAGATGCGATTGCGACTATAATCATTCAAACGTTAAATATCGCATGTTAAAGATTTGTAGGAGGAGATTTACCATTATAGAGGGTAAATGCAAGTTGCCGCATTTTTTGAAAAACATTTTTCTTTAAAAATTAATCAATACAGAAGTACTGCTTTAAACTTTATTGAGATATTAAAACAAACTTACATTTTATAGAAACATAAACCTAGCAAGAAATTTTTTTTTTTCATTAAAATCAGCATCTCTCCCGCACTACATCGGCTTCCTTGAGAAACTTATAATTTTCATTTTTTTGTTTTATCAAGTCGAGTCTAGAACAGATGTTACACACTTCACCATACATGATGCAAGTAACGTGTAGCCATTTTAAGTATTTTTTTAGTTTTCGTTTCGTAAGCATTCCACGCAGCGTTAATTTTTCTTTTTGACCAGAGGTTCATCGTCGCTGTCGCTCCAATGGTGTTTTCCTGGCTCTTTCCCTAGTTGTTTTTGTTTATTTTTTGATATTTTTAATTTCTTTTTCCGTTCTGCCACATTGGTTGTTTTATGATTGTCAAAGCTCTTTGTTATGTTTTCGGGTGATGTTAACACAGTTGCGTTTTGTTTGAACCTTTGCGGCATCTCTCCTTCCTGTCCGCTTATCCAGATCACGCATTTAAAACGCGCCAAAATATAACATTGCATGTATAAACATAACCCCAAAATACTGAAAAACCCTGACAAATATCAAATAAAACTACCTCGGTGCAAAGAACCACACTTGTCAGAATATCACTTAAAATTTAACCGCGCCTTTCTAAATTCGATGATAACACGCGATATTTCGAAAAACAAACTCGTCCGATGTCATAACTACGATCGACTTTCATCATGGATATACTCGGTTGCCTACTCTCTGGCATTAACATTGAAACACGACAAAAGCGGCATCTATCCCGCCGTGATAACTCTCCCGCGTTTACCCTAATAGACGAAATGACAGGAGTTGCCTTTTATCATACGAAAACTTTGGATATAAAATACCTTGTGTGGATAGGTCAAACTTAACAAAATCTAAAAAAAAATCATCTCGTGAATCCTTTTGCAGGGATGTTCTCACAAATGATAGGGAGTACACAACTTTGGCTTCATTTTCATAATGATTAAAGTTTTACCTTTGATTTTGTTAGCTTATTAGGCAAAGAAACCAATTATGAAAAACGCCTGGTAAGTGAAATGGTTTTTATTTTTCCGCTTAGCAATGCTGTGAATCAGAAAGCAGATTTATAACTCTGTAATAAAGAAACTCACCAGACCAGGAAGAAAGATGTACTATAGTTCGTCTGACATGTTTGTTTAGTAGGGTTACAGTTTTCGATTCTTTATATATATATATATTTATTGTTTTCTAAACAAGTTTTCACCTTGTTCCTCGCTTTGTATCAAGTTTTAATTACTAACATCGTTAAAATTAGTAAAATTTCGTCTCTTAAAGTTTTTGTTTGTATGTGCCACTATTTTTAGCGTCTTTGTATACTTTCTTATATTTTTTAATGTATAACTTTATTTGGTACATGTGAATAAGCAGTACAAAAAGGTTGATGTAATCCAAAAATTAATTCTAAAATTGATCCTCCATAGGCAGATTACTTATTCAAGTGACTTTCTATATGTGGCGGCTCAGCTATTAGATTGCAGACAAATTTATTTTTATTGTGGTCTAATACATTATTTCAAATATTCGAAACACTTGAATCGTACCATTCATAACTACACAACAAGATTCAGTCAAAATTCAATGTGTATTCCACAAACATCAAAAACCATTACACAACGATCTCTGTTTTTCTTGGGACCAAAATTGTATAACTTCATACCAGAGTCATTAAAAGTAGTTAAATCAAATGGATCATTTAAAAAAGAACTAAAAAACTGGATTTTACAACAACCAAGGTGCTCCGTCCACGAAATTGTAGATCTGAAAAATTATTATCAAAATCCATAATATTTTACTTACACTAGCATCCATACTTTTACTTTAGTTATAATTGTCAGGATATTTTTCCTGACATTACCATAAGAATTCACCAAATTATGCAGTATTAACGTTTTTTTTCTTCATACACTGACTGGATTATTAGTTTTTATTTTTAACAAACCCAAACACAAGTGCAAACTTTTTTTGGGTGCTTTATGTTTATTGTGCACAATATTTGATATTTACCTGTATTTTGTGATAATAAACAGTATTATTATGATTATGTATATTTTGTTGAAATTTATTTTTTGCATCTCGTAGCCATAAAGAAGGCACCAAATAAATGTTGCTGATAATTTTGCGATGCATATATGCGAGGCATAATGGGTTGATACTCAAACAGTGATGAGGCGAATGACGCTGAGTAAGGTACGGATAGACCAAGGTTGTACACGTACATAGGTATAAAAGTATACTCATATGTGTACGATAGAGAATAGATGACTAACAACTTCAATACTGACGAGTTTTCTGCCTGAGAATGGCTATAAAAGCTTTCTGCATTCAAAAAAATATTTGAGTAACTGTGAATGGTCCCGAATTAATGCTTAGTCTAGCACCTCCAACCCTGCGTCAAAAATCTATTCCAAATCAAAAAAGTTACAATAATAACGCAAAGCTTCGTTGACAGGTAAATTGGTAAAATTTATGTTATATACGTAATCTAATTATAATGGAAACCTGCTCTACTTTCCACTTTTGTGCTTCATTTTGAGTAGACAATGGTTAACATTATATAAACCTTTGCTACTTGATAGCGTCTAGAGTTCGGTATAGTATTTCCTACTATACCATTATGTTTTACTATGAACTACGAGTCCAATAAACACGTGTAACAATCTGACCTTGGATGATGAATAGTAGCGTACCGCGAAATAGGTGAGTTATAATAGCAGTGGTATTACGAGTATCATCGGACTATACATATACTCAGTGACAGTGAAACTAGGACACCCGGTAAAAATAATTTTGATTGCGTGAAAATTTATACGAGGTATCCTTAAAGTTGGGACTTTGCTCTACAGATCGCATAGGCCAGGCAAAAATAATATTTCTGGAATTTGAATATCTAGAAAGTGTAAAAGGGAAAACACGACTTTTTTTTCGAAATAGGGATTTTTTCGAAGATTCTCTTTGGATTGAAAATAGCGTCTAATATAGGAAGGTTTTCGTACTTTCTGATAAGTAAACTAAATTTGAAATTGACAGATGGTTAGAGGTGTCACACCGGAAGTAAACATTTCAAACCAAAGTTTGCATTTTCTATTACCCACTTTTTGATCCAAATATAGCCTGAAGTCTGTTTAAAACGCATTAGAAGCCTTAAGGGTTACAAACTTTTTTTTTTCGTAAGTAAAGCATCTCGCTGTAGATACCGGGTGATGCTAGCGAGATCACTAAATTCTGTTGGAGTTGATACTCATTAAAATTTTCCAGAAATTGATGTTTTAGTTTGTTGTGTGTCTGCTTATAATATTTATTTTGCCGTCATTTAT